CCGCCTGCTCTTCCACTCGATTGGCCAGCGAGGTTGGGTCGGGCGTTCTGATTGGAGGAGGCGCGCGGGAACGCCGACGTTTCTCCGCGTCCGTGGCCGAGCAGCCGTTTCCCCTCAACGGCGATTGGTGGAGGAGCTTTTCAGAAGGCATCCCAAGAGGGGGAGGAGGCGGGACTTTGGTTTCCCTGGTTACCAGGTGGAGAGGAGGGCTTTTATGCAAATGTAAATTATGCAAATTAAGGATGCTGCTGTTTTAATGAGCCCTGGCTTACAAATGTTAAATTAAGCTGCCAGTAAATAAGAAGCCTTTTTTTTTCTATTGGAGCAAAAAAGCCCTTTTCATTATAATGATGGAGATTTATTTATTAATTATTACTTCTTTTTAACCCGGGTGACTTTGAATGAAGGAAGCCCCTTAAATGCAATCATCAATATTTTAATTGCAGCATAAATGCAATTAATTTAATTGACCATTTAAAACAAAAGCCCTCTTCCTCTTAAATATCTTTTTTTGTATTGGAGCAACACTATATCCTTGCAAGGACGCGCAAAATAGGTGCAAAAACAAATTATTTGCAATTTTAACTAATTACCATAATTGGGGTTTAATTTCAGGAAAGTCAATTTTATCAAAATCTGGAGGACTTCTTGAACTGTGGAAGAAAACGTAAGCTTAGGATCTGGGCAGCCGTGTGAAATATTATTTCTTTCTTTTTTTAAAAAAAAAAGTTTCTTCATTAAAACATTTAACCAAACAGAATAAATAGCTACATCAAAGAGAGAGAGAAAAAGACAGAAAAAGACACCGTGGCTAAAGAAAACACCAGTACGTAAACAAAGAGCTGACCATTATAAAAATTTGAACTTATTACATTAATTAATTATTTGCATTTATAGAATTAAGTTCATTCAGACATGTTAAGAAATGCCTAAAAATCTTTTTTAAAAACTCTAAACCTAACGTTGATACCCTCACTATTTGTAGATATTTATAGAGAAATACAGAGTTAAAAAAATAACTGGAAACAAACATAGTTTCTGTTGGAGATTCGAATTCAACAGGAGCCTTTATTAGAGGTTGGGGCTCCTGAGCTTGTGCAGAGTGCAAGATGAATCCCAAGCAATTAAGTAGCGGGGGGGGGGAAATAATCCTACGGCAATTTGCATGCAGAATACATAACCTTTGCCCAGCTCCCAACAAACCTTGATATTTCTATTTAAAGGAAAAAATATGTCATTCGTCCTTGTTACTATCTCTCTGTTTCTCCTGGTGTGCCAAAAACTACTACAGAAAGGTGACTCAATTTCCAACAGATTTACTTTCCAAATTTAGTTTTGACCAAGTCAGAATTCCCTTTGTTACTGTATTCATAAATAATTTCATTTCCCTCTTTGGCTTGCAGGAGGTTCAGCAATTTATTTATTTATTTTATTTTGCAAAAGAGGTTCCTTGCACACTCGGCCGCTAGGAGTCAGTTGTGCAAAACCTCAACATAAAAGCCATAATTCACCGACCAATTGCAATGGTGCTTGTCATTTCAAATCCATCTGTAGTAGTTTCCCCACCAAATTTAACGTCTCTGTAAGTTTGATAGGTCACTTTTCCGGGCCCTGGTGGTGGGTAGCTTCTAGATCAAGGTGGGAGGTGTTGGGGGGGGGTTAATTTTTTTTAGGGGGGGGTTATTTCCTTCGAGGCAACATGAGGAAGAAGTCGCCTGCCCAAAGCCAAGTCAGTGTCACCCCCATGAGAAGATCGATGCGCTTGCAACAGGAGAAAACTGCAGAAAAGGTAGGAAAAATTTTCATTCTTCCAAAGTGGAATTATAACACAAATTTCCTTGTCTCTCCTAGAAGCGGCATGTGTCTTCCTCAACATACATGCAACCTTTTACTTTATTTTACTTATTAAGTTTCTACACCACCCGTCTTGCCTAAGTGACTCTTGCTGGTTTACAGCAATGTAATAACGCAATATGAACGCCTGATTAGAAAACCACAGTTAAAAACGTATTTTATTTTATTCATTTATTTCTGTTTCATCTTTCTAAGCCGCCCATCTCCCTCAGAGAAGGGGCTCTGTGTACAATGTAATCCATATATACAATTAATGTTAAAATATTTAAATTAGTTAAAATGATTGAACAGAATGAAAGAGATGGAGAGATTAGACAAATGAGAGGCGATGATAGACAGATAGCTAGATAGCTAGATAGCTAGATAGCTAGATAGATAGCTAGATAGATAGATAGATAGATAGATGCAGTAGACAAACACATAGACAGATCTATAGATCTATATATATATAACTATATACTATCTGCCTGCCTCTCTCTCTCTCTCTCTCTCTCTCTCTCTCTATCTATCTATCTATCTATCTATCTATCTATCTGTTTCTGTCTGTCTATATTATCTATCTATCTATCTATCTATCTATCTATCTATCTATCATCTAATCTCTGTCTGAAAGAGATAGAGATAAGGATAGATGATAGATAGATTGATTGATAATATAGATAGACAGAGAAACAGAAACAGATGAGAGAGACAGATGAGAGAGAGAGAGGCAGATAGCATATAGTTATATACCTATATAGGTGGCCTAATACTGGCCTGTGTTCATAATAAAAATTTGATTTGAGCTGTACAACCCTGTCTTCATTTACAAAAATCTCTTTTCCTCCATCTGTTGGACAGCTCCGTCTGGCCCCCTATAAACCAGGCTAAACAAAGGTCCTTCCCCATCTCTTTTCGCTGGCTGGAATAATGCTGTTTAATTCTGATTTCTCGACGTCCTGGGTCAATTTCCCAGGGCCATCCACCATGGGTTCCCCACAAGTCATGGCTGGATTTTTCCAGCCCTTCCTTTCCTGAAGGGAATTTTTTTTTTTAAATGGTGGAATTGTAAAAAAGGGGAAAGATTTACCCTGATCCAACGTGGAGGAATGGTTGGTGAAGTTGATGGAAGTCGCTAAAATGGCTAAATTGGGATTTTTCTGATGAAAAAAAAGACAAGGCCTATGGTTTATTGCGGCCTGGAAATGCTTTGTAAAAATATACAAGTAATCCTCGACTTACAACTGCAGCTGAGTCCAAAATTTATGTTGCTAAGTGAGACAGATGTTAAGTGAGTTTTGCCCTATTTCATAAATATGAGTCAGTTGCCAAGCATCTGAATTTTGATCACGTGACCCTGGGGATGTTGCAACGGTCGTAAGTGTGAAAAACGGTCATGTCACTTTTTTTTAACGCCACTGTAGCTTTGAATGGTCACTAAACAAAATGCTGTAAGTCGTTGACTATCTATATTTGGTAGGTTTGCCGCCTCGGATGATTGATAAAAATAAGAAAGGTGTGGTAAAAAAATTAAAAATAAAAATATCGTAGGCGGGCTGAATTCTTTTCCTCTGATTCGGCAGCCAGTTTCATTATGACGGTGTCCATTTTAAGTTCTGTTTTTCTATAATTATTCTTCTCGTTGTGACCTTGTTTACTGCGTTTCCCTGGATTTTTAATTTTGGTTTTAATTTTGGTTCTTTGTGG